TTTTTTTGAGACAGAGTCTTGCTCTGTCACTCAGGCTGGAGTGCAGTGGTGCAATCTCAGCTCACTGCGACCTCCACCTCCCCGGGTTCAAGCAATTCTCCTGCCTTAGCCTCTTTAGTAGGTGGGACTAAAGGTGCGCACCACCACACCAGCTAATTTTTGTATTTTTAGTAGAAACAGGGTTTCACCATGTTGGCCAGGGTGGTCTCGAACTTCTGATCTCAGGTGATCCACCGGCCTTGGCCTCCCAAAGTACTGGGATCACAGGTGTGAGCCACCGTGCCTGGCTAGGGACCACACTCTGAATAGAGAAGGGTTAGGCAGCAGGGATGGTCAGAGAGCAAAATATTGACCTTGGTTTCTGGCTTCCTAGCCTAATGTGGTAAGGCTGGGATATTCCCCTCCCTACAAATGGCTGGGTCTCTGGAAATGACTCAGAGATTTTGTCCCCCAAGACTGCAAGCCTGAAAAGCTCTGTTGACTCATCTCCGTGCCCCTAAGCCTGAGGTAGGGACGCAGCCCACTTGCTGCCTCGTGACTAAGAAAACTCATAGAGCAGAAATAAAAGAAGGGCCCACCTGGTTTGGTCTTAGCTCTGCAATGTCTCCAACCACTAGACTCTCCATCAGCTTCACCCGGTCACTACCACATATTTTGGTCTGGGGAAAGAGATTTAAAGCCTCAGGCCATTGCAACAGCTACAGTCCAAAAGGCCACTAAGCAAGGATGCATCCTCCCTGCTATCCACAGTGCAGTCCATCCCAGCTATATGTAGAACCAAAAGTGACTAACCAGTCTTTTGGTTCTACATGTGGCAAAGGATCACCTTCTGATTTCCTGACCTCCCCCAGTCACCCTGTGCAGGGGGACTGCCAGGGAACTGGACAGGACCTTGCACCTTCCTGAAATAACCCTTTTCAAACCAACACTCAGCCCAATACATTAGAGTGGGTGTCACCCATGAAAACCCAAGACGTTAAGGTACACCACTTAGTGGGAGCAGGCTAGAAAGATGAGATGATGAGGCCCTCTGAGCTCATTTCCTTGGGGCCATTGACCTATCCATGACACCCCCATGACCTCTAGCTCTTCTGGGAGGGCTGACCTTGGAATCCAGTTCCCAGCAAACAAACCCAAGGAGGGCACCACTGTAAATGGGGAAGAAGGCCTGATCAGGCAGCCAGCGTGCTCCCCTGACTCACCTGCAGCATATGAGACACATCAAACAGCGAGCAGTGCTGGCGTGTGTGTAGGTGCGAGTCAGTGTGACTGTCCCGGTACTGCACTGGCAGACTCCAACCCGCGAACTCCACCATTTTCCCGCCGTGGACCAGGTGGAAGTCATAGAGCGGTGTCCTGCGGAGCACGTCCTGCAGGGGGCTGGGCTTAGTGCCACCAGGGCCCTAGCCCCCAGCCGCTTTCCTCCCCCACCCTCCAAGATCAGCACCCTCTATCCCACCTGTGCGAAACTGAGTGGACGATACAAGTCCGGGGAGAATGCCTGCAGGCGAAAGCCCAGATGGGCCACCACACTTACAGCCCTCTGCATCGTCGCCAGCAACGAGTACAGACGGCGCACAGAGGCCACCACACTGCCAGGCACGCCGGGAGATGTAGTCCAGGCCTCTGCTTGGACAGGTCTTGCTCTGGAGCTAAGGATCAAAGGAGGGGGCGGGCAGCCCCAAGGGCAGGCTGGGATTTAGAGCAGAGAATGCAGGAACTCCCAAAGCACGGAAACTGCCTCCGGCTGGCTCTTCAAGGAAGCTCAAGCAATCCAGAGCTGATTGGGCTGCCCAGAACAGAGCCTGGGGCTAGACCGCCCCCTGTAGAACTGCCCTGTCTCCAAAGGGTCAAAGTTCTAGAAAAGGCTGAAAAGTCTCAATCATACATTATAGGACCTCAAGAGAGTAAGGTCAAATGGGGGTGGGGAGAGTGGAGAGGTCACAGCTGGGTGGAGCCAGCGTGGCAGTCTAGCAGCACCACAGTAGTCTGCCCTCACGTAGGGGTCCCCAGCCCTCCGACCAGGCAGACACGGTCAGCCAGCAGTCATGCATTCCACAAGTATTTATTGATCTTGCTGCATACCAGGCCCTGGGCTGCGGACACAGCCACAAATGAAGCATGGTCCCTGCTACCACAAGGTCCTCTTCACTCACACGCACACTGAAGACTACTGCTCCATCACACTTTCAGAAGCAGCTGAGTGGGGCTATGTAAGTAACCTTGCAGGTAAAGTCACCACCTGCAGGAATTCATGGGTGAGAGCAGAGGGTAGCCACCAAAAGGTCACTGAACTCCCCCGAGAAAACTGTTGAGCCGCACACATGTCCAGTTTTCCAGGTCCAAGACATACTCCAGTACTGCTTCATAATAGCCACCAGGGACAAAGCCAGGAAGAATCAGAGGGACACAGGATTTTCTCATATGAAGGAAAAGAAGCCTGCATCACTTAATGGTTGGCCTGAGTTAATGGAGGACCTAGGCCTCTTAAAAGGCACCAATGAGGCCGGGTGCTGTGGCTCACACCTGTAATCCCAGCTCTTAGGGAGGCAGAGGCGGGAGGAGAGCTTAAGCCCAGGAGTTTGAGACCTGCCTGGGCAATATAGTGAGACCCTGTTCTCCACAAAAAGAAAAACAAAACAAAAAAGGCACCAATGAGAACCCTTATTTAGACCCACTCCCCACCATGGTTGAGCTCTCATCATGCTGAGCATGTGTCTTGGAAAGGGGCAGGCCAGGCACAGTGTCTCACGACTGTAATACCAGCACTTTGGGAGGCTGAGGCAGGTGGAGGTTGGGAGTTCTAGACCAGTTCTAGTTCCCGCCGTGGGCCAGGTGGAAGTCATAGAGCAACATGGAGAAACCCCACCTCTACTAAAAATACAAAATTAGCCAGGCATCATGGCACGTGCCTATAATCCCAGCTACTTGGGAGGCTGAGGCAGGAGAATCGCTTGAACCCGGGAAGAAGTTGCGGTGAGCGGAGATTACGCCACTGCACTCCAGCCTGGGCAACAAGAGTAAAACTCCGTCTCAAAAAAAAAAAAAAAAAAAAAAAAAAAAAAAAAAAAAGGCAAAGGGGCAACTGGCAGACAGGATAGGGATGTGCTTTGGGCTATATCAGATGGCAGAGAGGTCCCAGTTCTTATTCTCAGGCCCTGGCTTTGCTAGAGACACTTGCCCAGGCCCTATGGGCACACCCATTTGAACATATATTCAGGAGCCAGCTCAGAAAGCAAGAGACTCAGGCTGCCCAAATCTTCAGCTTTACTTCCTAGGCAGGCAGCAGAAGAGTTTAGGCAGAAAATTTCTTTCTGTGGCATAACACAAAGGGAAAGAAAACCACTAGGAGACACACAGGAAGAAATAAGGTTTCTGTTTCTTCCGCAAGTGTCCTAAGTGCCATGGCAGCAATGGCTTTCCAGGTCCATAAATGGAGCAGGTTCTAGTAGGTCAGTCCAGCCCAGCTGCACTGAGGTGAGGGAGCAGGCAGAAGACAGGAATGTGCATGTTGGCAGGAGGGGCAGAGGGCACTCAGGGATTCTTTGTAAGTAAACTAACTGGAGTGTTTTTGGGTAGAAGGAAGAATTTAGTTGCAGCCAGGTGAAGACAGAGCACACCCCTGCCAGGAGCTCATGCTGAAGCAACACAGTAAGCCCTCAAGAATCTTGAATCTGTGAATGTGGCCCAGACAGAACAGGCATGCAGGCAATACTTGGAATACACAGGAAACACACTTCAGCCTCTGGTGGCCCAAACCAAGTCTGGATGGGCACAGAAAGGCCAACATCTTGGCTAGGAACCACCATTCAAGTGTAGGAGAGCAAGTTCAGGTCATAACAGCCATCCACCTGAAATACAAAAGACCATTAGGTCTGATCTGCTCAGGGCCAAGCAAGCCAAGCAGAGGGAAGCGATCACTTACATCAAAGCGGCCGATCCTCGCAGAGGTGTGACTGGCCCGGATCATCTCTGTCAGTGCCCACATCTGCTGCACCTCGGAGGATACCCTGCTGGGGTCTGGGAGACCCTGCTCCAGAAGGAGGGGTCAGTGGCCATGGTGCCCTTAGGGTTCCAGAGAGGCCAACCTGGGCTAGGGACCCTCCAGCTGGGACCAATGACATTCTCAGATGGCTTATGAAACATGAGGTTAGGGCCTGATGTTCAGTAGGCAGCCCAGTGCCACACCAGAGATGCCTCAAATCCCACCCCAAGAGGAAGATAGTACCCAAGGGTCCTGGGCCCAGCCCCAGAATTTTATAGGAAGGGGTCCACCTGGCCTAGTGCTGGACACTAGAGCCATTCACACATGGTTCTTACCGAGGGTGAGGGCTTACCTCACAGAGGAGTGCAGGTTGCTCACAGGGCACTGGGTGGGAGAGCCACTTGGGGAAGGTCATGGAGGGGCTCTGCAAAGCAAAGATGAACTGCCCTGAGTGAGACAAAGTAGACAGCTCTGGGACCAGATTCCAAGGTCCTAGGAGCAGAGAGAAGGGCCCCTGAGCCTCAGACACTGGGAAAACTCTGTTTAGGGAACACACAGAGACCTAAAGGGGCAGTCAGACTACCTAAGTTCTCCTGCCATGCAGACAGAGTCCTCAGAAACACAAGCTCAAAAGTGTCTCCCAGCACCTAAAGGCTCCAGCTCTGAAAATAGCTGGTAGCCCCAAAGGTCAAGGGACATGGGGACATGGCCTCACCACTCATCATGAGCTTCCAGCATTCACACCAAGCTAACCTCCATGAAGGCCCCCTTCACCATCTTTACCCATTACCCACCCCACCACCTAGTGTTCCCAGTCATAGAAGCCTTCTGGGGAAAGGACCAGCCAGCAGCTGAGCTAGTCACTTACCTTTGGTCCCTGCTGATAGATCTGCAGCTCTTCCACTGTGAAAGACAACCACAGTGGCGATGGCTGCCGCAGAATCAGGCGTAGCTCCGATACTCTGGCCATGTTACACAGCATCTGACACACACACACAAGGACCTAGCGAGGACCCAGCTCACTGCCCAGAAGCCTCTCAACCAACAATAAGCCAAAATGCTGCCCACCCCACAGGCCTTTGGGAAGGAAGGAACAGTAGTCCCTCCAAGGCACTTGCCTGATAGTCACAGTCCGGGCCAGACTGGCCCCCTCTTCCCTCTTAGTATATTGACCCATTCCCCCCACCTCTGGTAAGTCCTCATGTGGGCTGCCCTGGCCATCCTGAGGCCCAGCTGACCTGATGCCTGAACAGCGATACATACTCCTGGGCTCCCTCCTCACTGTGTGGGTCAGGCATCAGACAGTAGTCCCGCAGGCAGGTCACCCACTTGGCCGGTGTGTGTGCTGAGGGGTGGTGACGGACACGGATGCTCAGAAAAGCTGTGTAGTAATTCTTGAATGTGATCTCCTGCAACTAGAGCACATACAACCCATTGCAATAAGTCAGACCCAGGCCCGGGGACTGAAAAGCTCAAAGGTCAAAGGCACCACCTCTTCCTTCCCCCTTTTTTTTTTTTTTTTTTGGTTTGAGAGGAAATCTCACTCTGTTGCCCAGGCTGGAGTGCAGTGGCACAATCTCAGCTCACTGCAACCTCCAACCCCCGGGTTCAAGTGATTCTCCTGCCTCAGCCTCCCAAGCAGCCGGGACTACAGGCACATGCCAGCATGCCCGGCTAATTTTTTTGTGTTTTTAGTAGAGACAGGATTTCACCATGTTGGCCAGGATGGTCTCAAACTCCTGACCTCAGGTGATCCACCTGCCTCTTCCTTTTTGAATGTATTCTTCTACTAAATTAACAATTTCAACAAGCATCATTGGGGCCCAAAGACAATTCTGGTTTCCTTTTTATTTTTTATTTTTTTTTGAGACGGAGTTTCGCTCTTGTTACCCAGGCTGGAGTGCAATGGCGCGATCTCGGCTCACCGCAACCTCCGCCTCCTGGGTTCAGGCAATTCTCCTGCCTCAGCCTCCTG